GCTTCAGGTTATTTTTGGTTCGTCATCGACCAATTAATTTCATTTGGGAGTAACGGTCATCTAGGACTGTAACGGCCTGTTTGAACCGGCAGGACCACCGACCATGAGCAGAAGAAAAACTAACTTTATCTAAGATTACTATGCCTGTTACCGAGCAAAAGTAGGTGTGTTATAAAAATTCAATGTCTCAACTTTCTTAATATATTCGTTGTAGGCATTTTAAATACGTTTAGAAGAAGAAATGTGGAAAAATCAAGAGGACAAGTTCAAATCAAATTTCCGTTTGCTACCATGAATTCCCGCGCTCATTTACACACTCAAACAAGCACCCAGCGCCAAATCAGGCTTCACTTTTTCCCCGTGTTTTTAGATACGAGCACTCCGTCTTTATGTCTTTGTTTCCACCGCAGAAATGTTTCTCCACGCCATTCAATCGATTTATCGAAAGCAGTTCTCCCTCGGCAAGATCCCTCTCCTCACCGAGCAGTTGAGATATTAAACGTGTGGTGTGGGGAAGAATTTCTTTACTTTTTTTCATTTCTCCTCCAGGTAATCGATATGATCACGATCAGGGAAGGGAAAATTTTAAGCGGGATAGTGGAGCACAGAATTTCCTTGCCTCGCTGAAAATCTCTCTCTATGCACCCCTAAAAAAAGTTTTTTCATCCCTCGAAGTGTCTGTGCCCTCCCCTACGTAGCCTTCGCCACCCCTCGGGAATTCGTTTCTCTCCCAAGAGAAATCCTCCCCCCCCCCCCCCCCCCNGTAAATATGAGTTTTCGTACAGACGGCGTTCCATATAGTGTCACATGGCAATGAATAGTAACTGTCTCTGGAAATTTCTAGAACTCTCTCGACTTTTTTCCCAGTGGAGCCCAAGTTAAAAGAACCCTCATTACTTGGTCCTCTCTGGAACTTTCTATTTTATCAGACTTTCGTAACCACGGTAGTTTTTAAACATTTTTAATTCGGTCAACATACCACCCGCGATTTTTTTTGCGGAAATGTCAACTAGAAGGCCTACTGACTGAGGAATAACAAACCGCGAAGTCTGTTGTTTGGCCGTTTCTGAGAAAATGCGATTTTTCGTTTTTTTGGCGGGAATTTCGGGTCGCGGCGCTGAAAAAGTCAAGTTAGGCTGTTTTTGTGGCTCGTAAATGCATATCCTATATATTTTTAATCAATCAAGTGCCAGTAGATAGCTATTCGTGCATACCTATTGCCCAAAATTCATATCCTTAAATCCACGACTTTCGGGTTTTTGGGTGGTTAGTCAAGGAGAAATCCGAAAAAAAGAGGGTTAACCCGGAACAAATTGCTTAACAAACGTTTCCTATGTAAACGTCTTCAGTAGGTCCTATTGAACAACATACCAAAAGTTTCCACAGTGCGATCCCGGAACACCCCCCCCCATTTTGCCTAAATTTCAAAATGGCGGCCATAATAGGGCCTCTGGGAGTTCGATTTTTTTTAAAATACGCATACAGTATCACGTGAGGTATCGATTCCTATGTAATTTTGGTCGCAGATTTCAGATATGAAGCAAAAAAAGTCCCCCAGTCAAAAGGGGGTACCCCAAATCCAATATGGCAGCCAATTTTGAAAGACAAGAGGGTGGATTTTTAAAAAGTTCGCGTGATAAGGCAAGTGAGGTATCATTTCTCATGTAATTTTGGTCGTAGATTTCATTTATGAAGTCATAAAAGTCCTCAAGTCAAAGGAAGTGCTCGAAATGCCAAGATGGCGGCCAGATTTGAAAGGCAGGAGGGTGAATTTTTGAAATGTTCACTTGACATCCCTAGTAAAATTGAATCAATCTGACGTCAGGCTATGCTTCATAAACTACCCTGAGTCAGACTAGTTCAGCCTGAACTAGTCTGACTCAGGGTAGTTTATGAAGCATAGCCTGACGTCAGGTTGATTCAATTTTACTAGGGATGTCAAGTGAACATTTCAAAAATTCACCCTCCTGCCTTTCAAATCTGGCCGCCATCTTGGCATTTCGAGCACTTCCTTTGACTTGAGGACTTTTATGACTTCATAAATGAAATCTACGACCAAAATTACATGAGAAATGATACCTCACTTGCCTTATCACGCGAACTTTTTAAAAATCCACCCTCTTGTCTTTCAAAATTGGCTGCCATATTGGATTTGGGGTACCCCCTTTTGACTGGGGGACTTTTTTTGCTTCATATCTGAAATCTGCGACCAAAATTACATAGGAATCGATACCTCACGTGATACTGTATGCGTATTTTAAAAAAAATCGAACTCCCAGAGGCCCTATTATGGCCGCCATTTTGAAATTTAGGCAAAATGGGGGGGGGTGTTCCGGGATCGCACTGTGGAAACTTTTGGTATGTTGTTCAATAGGACCTACTGAAGACGTTTACATAGGAAACGTTTGTTAAGCAATTTGTTCCGGGTTAACCCTCTTTTTTTCGGATTTCTCCTTGACTAACCACCCAAAAACCCGAAAGTCGTGGATTTAAGGATATGAATTTTGGGCAATAGGTATGCACGAATAGCTATCTACTGGCACTTGATTGATTAAAAATATATAGGATATGCATTTACGAGCCACAAAAACAGCCTAACTTGACTTTTTCAGCGCCGCGACCCGAAATTCCCGCCAAAAAAACGAAAAATCGCATTTTCTCAGAAACGGCCAAACAACAGACTTCGCGGTTTGTTATTCCTCAGTCAGTAGGCCTTCTAGTTGACATTTCCGCAAAAAAATCGCGGGTGGTATGTTGACCGAATTAAAAATGTTTAAAAACTACCGTGTAACGTGACTTACAAAGACTGACGATGATTTTGCTGAAATTTTCTGATATTCTTTCAAGTTTTCTCCAAGAGATTGGCAATGAAATGACGCCCTCCCCGTGTCCTTTCCAGAACTGACAAGAGTTATCTTAGATTTTTGGGAGAATGTTTGAAGGCGACGGGTGGTTGTTGTTTCTGGAACTTTTCCGAATGTAACCAAGTGGTGGCGAGAGATGGAGGCAAGCCGGAGATGGTGGCGGCTGGCTGCTGAGAGCGCGCGGGGCCCGTCCGGAACGGCTAGTACTAGTAGTAGATAAAAAAAAAAAAAAAAAGACACAAAAAAACGAAACATGAAAATATTCACCGACTTGAAAAACGGGTTTCTTTTTTTTTGTGTTTAAAAACAATTGCGACAAGATTTGGTTGGCACACTGAGTCATTCTTACATGGGTGATTTCACGATAAGAGGAATAGCCAATATGTGTAACACCTTAAAAATAAAAGTGTACCATTTTAGCAAGATTTCTTTACCTCATTTTAAAGGTCCTAAATAGTGGACTTTCTCTTTCCAGCCTCGGCACGAACTATTTTGATTCAGTACAAAGTTATAGTGATGGATAAGCAAGCCATTGAATCAGGTATCAGCTCTTCCCGCGGGACTGCTGGAGGTTCACGCAAACAGGGCGGCCCTGCCAAATCGTGTCGGTTGTACGTAACCGACTCTTGAAAATGTGAAATAAAAGATGACAAAAAAGGTGAAATTTGGCAATTATTGAGATATGAGATGGAATTAATGCTGCCTTAAAAGTTTTCTAAACTTTGAGGACTTCCTTTTAGGTTAATAATATTAAATCGAGGACTTTGTGTAGTAAAGAATTAGTGCTATACACCTCAAAATCACTGGTTTTCATAAAAATTAAAGTTTTCATTTTAAAAAAAAACTGACCTGTCGGTAATGGTTTGGTTGAGAAGACTGCAGCGAACAATTTGATGACAGTCATGGAACTCCTGGCGAGATAAACACTAACACTTAACACAACAACATATGTTGCCAAATGTGGAGACACTTCTTTCAAATGACTTTTCTCGTTTAATAATAATCATTTCATTTCAAAATGACAATTTTCTTGAACATTACAGTCTGACATTTGTGCCCTAAGTCTCATATTAGGTATTTAATATATAGGTAATGATATTTTATCAAATTTTGTAGCATAGATAACTTCAGGGACATCATTCCTATTGATTTATCTACTTGGTTTTCAATCGTTTTGCCCTAAGTCGTTTATAATCAACGGCGACACGACTATTCCTCTTATCGTGAATTCACCCTTATAAGTCTGGCCACCCTCTTGATCGATTTCACCCGAATTCTCATGTGCGTTTATTTGAGCTCCATCCAGAAAGTAATAGGTAAGTGACGACACCGCATAAAGACTTGCACATGAATGGAGATGTTTCATGTGTGAGGAATTTGCGATTTGACTATCGATACTAATGTAAAAGTTTGCGAGAAACACGATGGTGCCACTGGTTTTCTCTGAAATCAACTCCCAAGCTCAAGAAAAGGTCTCAAGTTGAGGACAAAATGGAGGGGATATCCCGCGCTATCCTGAGAGTCCACCTATACATTCAATTACAACCTATACAACTCTCCATGCAAAGATAGGGAACTAGTACATTAGCAAGGATGCCATGTTTTCAATTTTCGAGTCCCCAAATAAAGTGTGGCAGCCCTGTCAATGTACTTGCTCCTTATTTTTGTATGAAGAGTTTTGTCTTGATGTACCTAGACGTGGACTCTCAGGATAGCGTGGGATATATCCCCTCCATTTTGGCCTCAACTTAAGAGCTTTTTTTGAGCTTGGGAGTTGATTTCAGAGAAAACCAGTGACACACCATCGTGTTTCTTACGAACTTTCAACAATGGTCAAATCGCAAATTCCTCACACATGCAACATCTCCATTGATATAATTTTGAATTTCTGGATGGTATAAGTATCCAGGCGGTTCTTGTTGTTACATTTCATTTTTCAACGCCAAAAAATTTCTCACAATTTCTCCTTTTTCTCTATTGTACTGTTACCTATCTTAATTTCCGAAAACGTTGATAGGTGCAAAATTTTCGCACATGTTCAAAGTTAACCTCTCACTTCAGTAGCAGTGAGACCTACTATCCTAAGGAAATAGCCATTAAATAAGGTAGCTGATTTCGGTTTGGTAGATGACTCACCTTAGTACTAAGACTGCTTCTCGATAAACCCCATCTGCGTGGAAGAGACCTGTATTTCTGAAGATGATGCCTGTCACAAGCATTCCTAATAGAGGTGGAAGGTGCATGAGTTTAACCACCTGTCCAACAAAATAGGCGCACAAAATGACAGCCAGCAAGGAAAGCAGTTGACCCCCTGGTAGCATCTCGTTTTTCAGCAAAAAGTAGAGTACTAGGTACAGTAAAACAACACATAATGCATTGGTTACCCAAGTCAAATACCAATGATTCTTTGGCCCAAATGGTTGCGCCGAACACCCTCTCTGTGATTCACTGAAACAGATTAGTTAGATTGAGTTATAATATGCAACTAGATACCTCACCTGATGATCGAACATTGTCGCAAGGCTGGTGTTAAGCAGTCAAGGATTAAGTACCCCTCACTCTGACTATTCCTCTGACATCCAGCAAATCGCTCTAGTACCTACGTATGGTCCAAGCAAACAAGGAAAAGAGCCTGCAAACATCCCGGGCAGGTACCTGGCTATGTTTGTAGTGATTCCGATGTAATTTTTGACGCTGAATCCGAATTTCAACTTTATGTCCAAAAATTCGGACCGAAAAGTTGTCAAATTTGGCAAAAATGACCTGGCTATAATAAGCTTTTTTGTTGGAATGTGGCCTAAAACTCGCCAAAAGTTGATCTGATGACAAAATAGTTATTTTCAAAATGAATGCCTGTTTTTCCTATGAAATTACTGCTAGGTATATGTATTTTGTTGCTCAAGGCAAAGTTAAACGCGCTGGAGGGTGCCAAACTTTGGAAAATTAACGAAGATCGGCATTTTTGGCGGTTTTTGACTGTGTTGCCTCTCATCCCTGCTAAAAATAAGTGTAATGCTAGGAATACACTTAGGAGTCATAGACTAGTAGAATGTGATTTGCACAGCGAATGACATTGCTGGCATTATACTAGTTTTGAACGAGTTATACACTCATCAGTGTTATGTTAGCATTATATTAGTTATACACTCAGCAGTGTTATGTTAGCATTATATTAGTTACTAGGCTAAGCCCCCTGGCCGCTCCGTGGCCCAACCCCCAGGAAGCGCTGCGCGCTTCCAAGCCGCATTGTTACTGATTTCTTTGATTACTTCAGAGTCCCTTTGCCAGAGTTAAGACATCTCGATTATCAGCTGGCCTTGGCTGGCCATGGTGTCACAAAAGTGTGCACTCAAACGAACGATAATGAGGGATAGGGAAATGGAATCCTGCGATGTCTATCATCCAAAAACAACAACATCAACAAAACTAATCAAAACCTAACCAAAGAAATTGCAATAAAATAAAAGTAGATTGTTTTGTGGAAAATTTCTTAATCTATTTTCATTTTGGTGCGATGAAAATAACAATTCACTCTTGATAAATCACAATTTGGTTATATTTTCATTATTTTTGTTCACATTCGAGCCACCGCCATCTTGGTGCACTCATTTGTGACTCCATGAGCGAGAACCAATCAGAATTGGATTTTTTTTAGGCTACTTCAGTTGTCTTTAAGCCCAACTAGAGTCCCTTTATACTGAGAGTCAAGACAATTCGGCTCATGGATGTCACAAACGGGAATAAAGATTACAGAAATTGAACGTTTTTCGTAATCTTTGATCGGCCCATTCTCAAATGCCTTTCTCCGTTCCTCCTCTCATTCCGTTTGTTCCTTGCCGAACCCGTAATTCCCTGGTCCATTCCAGACTATAATCTTTGCAATTGGTGAAAATGTAATCTTTATTCCCGTTTGTGACACTGTGGAGGCCTAAAATACGGGAACCAATCAGAAATGGATTCAAATTGTCTTGACTCTCAGTATAAAGGGACTCTAAGCCTAACCAAGCCCGACCAGAATTGAGATGTCTTAACTCTGGGTATAAAGGGACTCTAATTTACTTAAGAGGAATGAAACAGTAGAAAGAAAGCAAGACGTATTTTCCGGTAGTAAGGTCGCAAACCAAGTAACCAAGTGTTTTTTCTGAATGAAACTTTTTGTGTTTTGTTGCGGTAAAAACGAACTTTCGCAGAAACGCGGGAAATATTCAATTCTCTTCAATGGAATGGATCTCTATCCTAAGATTCATTCACCCTTTTTCATCAATATGAGCGTTTAAATAAAATCATGGGAATGAAGCTTTGTTTCACGTACCCACTCATAACCGCAGTATTATGTATAAAAAGAAGCCTCATTTGATTCCTGTAGTAAACTGCCGACTTAATATAAAATACAATTCATATTGGGATATCTGGATGGTTGACTTTTCATCAGTCGTGACGTAGTTAAAATTGACTGCCGTAGAATGGGACGTATTTCTGCCGAACGGAACTATGTGCATCAAGATATGAGCCCCAAGACCTATAAGAATATATGCATAGCACGGCTCACATCCGGGCGACCGCGACCCTCTCGGCTCGTAAACTGGCGCGCGAGAGGTTTATGGGTCTTTTAGGACGCTGCCGTCTGTCCCAAAAAATATCGAAATCGCTCATTTGTTTTTAAAAAGAATCCCTGTTATTTCTGCGCAATCTGACAACCACATTATTTGTCCCAGTTTCGCAAATTTGGAAAAAAGTCAATTACTCTCGTGTGGGTGAAAATTTCAAAAATCGGGCATTGAGATGCACGTGTGCGTATAAAGCTGCATCAGTGGGTAGAAAGGTCTATGTTGAGAATTCAATGGTATGCTCTGTACACCTTGACATAGACACGGTGAATTTTTTAGATTTTTCGCGATAACTCGACCAATGGACCGCTAGATAAGGTACGAATTTCAGCATTCTGATACATGTTTCGTAACGGAAATTTCACGTAGAGCATGATGCGCACAACAAAAATTACCGAAATTGACTCCTTACGAAGATATTTAATGATTCTTGATGCGTGAATTCAAACCACCCGCTCATGAAAACTCAATGCTCTACGTGATTCACATCGCCCGCTAAACGTTATCATGACAGTCTCTGCGATGTAAAAATCTGGCAACCTCAATCTTGACACTTTGGCTCAGCTATAGCAAATTACTTATAATTTGAACAACACACGGTGGGAAATGAACATTGCTCGATTGAGAAGCTTGCTGAAACCGTTGTAGTGCTCGATTTGACTCACGTAGAGCTTTTGAGTTTCTTGTGAGCGGGCAGTTCAAATTCCTCTTAACCAATGTGAAATAAAAACGTTAATATCTTCATTAGGAGTTGGTTTCAGTAATTTTCGTTTTGTGAATCGTGTTCTGCGTGAAATTCTGATTAAGAGACTAGTTTTGGATTACTTAAATTCGCACGTTGTCTAGTGGTCCATTGTAAACATTTTATGGACAAAAAGCTTCAGCATAACCATTTCAGCTCGCCTCTTCATCATGACGAATTTCAAGTTCATAGGATCAATATTAATCACGAAATAGGCAAAAATAGATTTGCAGGTTTTTCGCAATAACTCGGCTAAAAATGAAAAATTCAAAAAAAGGAGATCGCGCCGTGCTACAGCACATAAGGTGTCACAACTCCGTAAAATTTCCATAATCTCTTCCTAACGATAACTTTAGGACAGCGCGGAACAGATCTCGACAATTTTAGGGCTTACGATTTTATAATATAGTAAGATAAGATACACTCAGCAGTATTATCCTGACACTCCACTATTGAAATTCACAGACTGAATGGCCTCTTTTGGATCCAATGTTGAATCCTGACTTTTTGTGAGGGAGGTGCAGTTATTTTAATGATATTTTCATCAACCCTTAAAAGCTGAAGCCGGGTCAAATGGAACCGACCTAACAAAACTTGCCCCGTAGATTGTATATGGGGCCAGTTCACGCGAGTTTTAGATGTTGGTCTGCAAATCATTCCAAAAAAGCGAATCGGACATGGACCTGAAAAAAAATCGAGTAGGCATCAACTCAGCCGATAAGACAGGAAAGAACTACTCGGGCCTCTTTTTTAACTTTTCTCCCGAATCCGAGCAACACCTCACTAGGGCATAGGGCATAGGCCGCATAGGCGGCCAGGGCAGGCGGGGCGGGGCGGGGGGGGGGGGGCNGGGCGGGGGCATAGGTATAACGGAGCATTGCGAGTTCACGCCTCAGGCCCTGAGTTCGCCCTTGAAATTTCAAAAGGCCTCATAAATTTCAATTTTTTTGAAAAATTGATTTATTTGCCCCTTAATTCCTTTTCTTCACTCACATTCCTAAATTTAATAATAATACATTTTCTTATTGTTCCTCACGCCTGTTTTTTCTTTCTTTCCAATTAGCTAGTCTTGTTACTTTCCTATAAATAATATGGCATCGTAAAGCAATTGTGTCCCTCAAAAAATAGTCATGATTGTGGTATTCTTTTCAGTAGGTAAAATTCTTAAGATTAGAATAAATAGTATGTACCTAAGTGCCTTTCTTTTCTATTGCTCTAAACTTTATTTGCATTTAAACGATCAATTTCAAGAATTATGGGGAAGAGCCCAGTCTCAGTGTATTGTATGTAACGTTGGAGTACATATTTCTGCTGTTTTTTTTATTTTTTGGTTTTTTCTAGCGTTTTTTTTTATTTTTTTTTTTACTGAAAATAATTTTCTTCGCAGTGAATACATGAAGTTCAGAGCCAAAAGAATACAAACAACGAAAAGTAAAGGTTGGAATTTTATGATCATCTTGTCTTAGTTGACCGGCAAACATCTACAGTACCAAAAATCTATGGCACGACTGCGGACAAAACAAACAACGACGGTTGAATCATTTCGATTTTAGCCACCATTTTGTTGCGTGACGGCAAGAGGGCACGAGATACGACTCCCTAATACTCCCTATGCATAGGTATTCGTCTTGTTGTGGCAAGCAGTTGGGCAGAAAAAATTACTAGAATCAAAAAATTACTGAAGATCAAGCTTAGATTTTAATTTTTCACGGTTTCATTGAAATTTCATGACATTTCAAGTGAAATTTCAAAATCTTATTTTTCATGAAATTTTCCATCTCAGCTCGGGCCATTGCGAATTCACGCCTCGGGTCATTGCGTCTTCAATTTTGCAGATGCAATACGGACATCAAATCAAGCACGAATATTCGTATGTCTACGCCGTCGTCAGCACACATCCTTTCCCTTGCTCTATCAAGAGTGGCGGTAGCCACCCCCGGTCGAGGAAAATGACGTCCTACTAAAGTCCCGATAACAAACGGGTGGCCGACACTCTTAGTCACAGGCAACTCCCTTAACTTGAAAATTGATTCGATTGCCATTCGACTGCAGCCCAAACGACGGCACAGATTCCTACGATCTAGGTGTCTACGGACGCA